TGAAGCGATTCAACCAATTATAGAATTAATTGTTAATACAAATTAGTATTATATTGAAACATACATTTGGTCATCAAATATGTATTAAGTTATGACTTGTTGAATGTTTCTTAACACTGACTCACCGGACAGCAGCGACGATGCCCCGCGATTCAAAAGCTTGCTTCAACGCGAGATGAACCACACCGTCGTTTTGCACGGGGCTCAGAGAACACGTCGAATACACAACTGCTCCTCCCACTTTTACCAGGCCGAGAGCGCTCCTGGTTAACCAATAAAGCATTTTCTTATAAATTATTCTCAATAATTTGAATGGATTTGTGAACACGAGTCTGATCACGATGTTTATTATGTCTGTATATTTTTATAGGTGAAATGTTGATTCCCTGCCGAAGCGCAGCAGATTTTATTGTTTATTTTCTCTTTTTGAAAATTCCGCATATTAGTGCATACAAATATTTTCTTTTTTCACAGTTCTCTCGTATGCGTGCGCAAAATATTGCAATTGACGTTTGACCTCTAATCTAGGTCACAGATGAAAATTCGAAATTTGGGGCTCGTCACCTGTGGAATTGTATTCTTATGCTAGTTTAAATTTTCATGCATATCGATTGAGGATAGGCCGAATAATATCGTTCGGAAATTGTGCAATTTGAGAGGATGCCTTGTACGAGCAACCATGTATGTACGTTACATAACCTTGCTGAGATAAGACACTGTGTTGGACTGACGGTATATATGCTGACCCCTTAGATGAGATTCTTATGCAGCAGTAGGTGGTGTGTTCTTTGGAATAATTTTATGCTTACACTAGCAATTGTGATTGCAGTTCTGGAAGCCGCAGTCGTTCCTTAATCCTGTCAGCTCGGAATATATTGTTGTCTTCGATTTTCGTTACCGACAGCCTATCTGTCGTACACGGCACATCTACTAACACCTGGAATAATAATATACAGGTTGACACCTAAAGATCTAAGTTACACTTAACTTAGATCTCTATAGCACTCTATAGGAGTCTCTTTGAATTAGCGATAAAATATCATCTGTTTTACACTACATGTTCACATAGTCAACTAAGCAACGGCGCGTCTAGCCTGTTCCCATAACACGATTATCTGTCGTGACTGTGTCAGTCGATTATAAGTCTGGCTAGTCTCGTTGTGTAGAGAGTAATGTCCAGAATGAGTCTGTTTCAATCCATTTTGCAGTAAAAATAAACAAACCGGATTGGTTAAAATTAAGTAACACTTTCACGTATATTTTGATGATTTCGACTTAAGAACTGTTATTCCAACTGATTCAATTAAACAGTCAGTAGTTAACAGTACAACTGGCCATCAGTGACCTGTTTGTTTACTTTTCTGTATAATGGATTCAAGCGGACTATACTTCCAAGACGGGGAGAAAAGGACGCTACCGAGGAAACAGTAGTGCTGATTTAAACGGCTGAAATAATCGCGCTTAACTCAAGATGACTTGTGGATATTGATACAAAATAAATAATTGGTATTTTCTTTTTCATTGTACTGACATCAAATAAGGTGATGTCGATAAGGATTTTGAGTTTTTCGTGAATTTAGAAGTTTCGTATAGTCCATTTATTTAGGTATTTAACTAAATGTAAACAGTCTTTATACATCTTTTTATTGAAACATATGCTTTACAAATCGATAGGTATAAAAATAGGCATGCAATTTCAGATGAAGCCAAGTATTTGTATTTTGTATTTGAAGGTAAGTAGAAATCATTTCATAAATGTACAATTATTTCATTAAATATACATCTCAAGAATGTTTAGATTTAGTTAAGTACCTAAACAGATGGACTATATAATAAAAGTTATTCGATTTCTACCCTCACAATGTGTACACATAATAATTTCTATAGTAACTTATCTGAATTACATGGCAAATGAAATAATTTTATTTTTTTTATAGTGAAATGGCATTTACAACTGCTGTTTTGCGAAAAATAGAAAAGAAAAGTGATTATGCAAGTGGACGGGTGCTTGTGTGTGAATGTTTAAGGTTTTGGTGAGAGGATGGATTCACATCTGTCTTCTGTGAATTATTAATACAACTTGTCTACTTATGAATTTCACAGTACCTTGGTATTTTGCTGTAATGCTGTGAATTTTATAAAATAAGTAAATAAATAAATTATATTCGTCAAAATAAAAATCGTCTTTGAAAGCGACTTTATTCGTAAGGGCGCGTGTCCACGCTAAGAAAAGTCCCCGAGTCTAAGCAAGAATTCATGTCGTTTCTGCACAAGGCGTAGGACAAGAAAAAAATGTACTGTAACATTTTACCCTATACACGTCTGTCCGAAAGCATTCGTATCGTGTACATTTTCTCGTCTGCAACAGGCACGACATGTTTTCGTGGCTAGTTCTTGTCCTGTACAAGACCATTCTCATCTTTTCTTAGCAGACACGTGGAATTTCTTAGCGTGTACACGCGCCCTAACGAATTTGTAAATAATAATTATTCGCGTTTAGAAGGGTCCTGAAAGCGGTAGTATATGTCTACAGTACAATATCTATTCATCGACTATACCTTATCGAAACCATTATCATCAGTGAACACCCGGCCATCGACTCGTGAGGTTAGAACTCGCTCACGCCATCTGTTGCTCGTCTCGAAATCGAACAGGTAGTCTTTGAAGGTTCGTATTGTTCTAAAATCACAGAAGACAGAAAATATATGAATAAATTTGTGTTGAGCGATAGTACCCCAGTGGGATACCCATTGTATTATACCATTAATCCATTGTAATAGTTGGATAAAAATGGCTAAGTCTGGCGAATTGCATTATTAATTTTTGTGACGACGCCTGTTGCTGATTTATATTTGTGTCTTCCTGACGAAGCCTACGTTGCGGATTGACTTAATTATGTAATTAATTTAGTTTTTACATGAATTTAATTGTATTGTAATAACAAATTTTTCGTTGAGTACATTTGTGAATAATAGGTTTTGTTTTTTATAATATCAAGTGGCGGGACGAATAAGTCGTGTGCCTGGTAGTTAGCCACACGCCTGCCCATAACAGTTGCAGTGTTACTGAGAGCTTTAAATCATAAAAATCTAGGGGCACCGCCACTGCGCCCGTTACCCTGAGACATAATTAGTTGACAAGTCCCATGTAATTTCACCAGCACCCTTACCCTTCAAAACCGGAACACAGTAATGCTAACATCACTGCTTGGCGGCAGAAATAGGTAAGGTGGCAGTACTTCCCAGGACGAACTCTTTCACAAGGAGCTCTACTGCTTACAAATTGTAACAATACTTATACAAATATACAAATGGTAGCAATAAATACTTCTCACTAATAGTGAAGGAAAACATCGTAATGAAACGAAGATAGTACACAACTATTTTGCATTGAATAGTATATTTAGCATCAGCCAGGAGCGTGGCCGAGTAGCTGAATATTCGGCCTAATTAACGCACGTACGCAATTTTTTTTATCATACCAAGTGACGTGCAGTTCAAATGCAATTGGACCAACAGCATTAAAACTGCAAATTTGCAGTCGGAGTGCAGTTGAAATGCAGACTGTCTGTCTAGAGCCTTACGCGCGTTGAACGCTTGTCATGTGAACATGCTTATTATCAGACTATAATAAGATCTAAATATATATAGATTTTTTTTATTAGGAGGTGGATGTAATAGACTCACCTATTACTCCTAGAGATAGACACGTCATTGCAGACAATGACATCGGGCAGCAACGTCTGCAGAGCGACCAACGCTTTGCCGCCCGGCGCCGAACACAGATCCAGCACTCTATCACCAGGAGTCAGGCAGAGTGCCAGCACTGCTAACACACTGCCGCCGTCCATTGGATAATAGTTGAAGACGCCTGAAAATAATGACAATTGTATTTTTTATATTCGTGAAGTTGCAAAAGGGCAGCGGCATGCACAAGGATAGGCAGGTCCGAATCACTGTCGAGTATACGGCCGCCAACGTCGGTGCTGACTGTGCAAAGTGCGACGAAGGTTTGACGAACTTACAGATTTATTCACGCTTAATCCAAAGCTCCAAAAAAAAATTAAAAATAAAAACATAATAATAATAGCGCACACACTCAACATAGGAAATATGGGAAAGGCTTAGCGACCAGTTACACGACCGAAATTTTTTGCGCGCGCGGCGACCGCCCTGTTCTGCCGGGTTCACGAGTCGTGCGTTTTTCGCTTGATTGCGTGACTCGCTTTGCGCATACGCAAAGATCAGACTGTTCACGAGTTGCTCGCTTGCGCAGGCGGCTTGCTTTGCATTGGATTTTTTTTTGCGTTGCGTGAGTTTGATATGTACTAAGCTTGATATTTCAACGCAAGCAACAAGGAACGTTTGCGGAGGACAGCACCACTGGGCGATCACAGAGCAGCAGCCGATTCGAGAGTGCCGCGCATGCGCGCAAGTCTCTCCGCAACGCAAAGCGGAAGTCTCGTGAACGCCTTTGCGTACATTAACGGCGAATCTGAATTCAATTTACTAGGCGACAACATTTAAATTCCTCTGGATAATACAACCGCGCGGTCGCCGCGTAGACAAAAGACAAGTCAGCCTCGACCAGGGATGGTCATTAAAGTTAGAACGTAAAAGTTAAAAAAACAGAGCGTACTTTGCTATGACTTATTACTGATTATTAGGCATATACAACGGGTACACCAACACACAGACATAGGTAATCGGCTATTTTTTTTTATGGATTGAGCATTTAACCTCCAGCTCACCTGATGAAAAGTGACGATGGGGTCGATGATGGAGGATACACCTATGTAATGCCTATTCACTCTCGCCTTGAAAAGGTCCCGGTTAAAATGCTGCCATATAAATGTGGAAGTGTAACACCATGAGCGAATTAACTAATAATATCTAAAGCATGTTAATTTGTAATTAAATAATAGTGATCACATTGTGTTAAATAAACAATTTTTCAATAAACAATATTGCATCCTTGAGAGTTTTCTGTAAATATGATTGAATTCAAGAGATAATTAATGTTTTGTGATTAATGATAAGTGTTTTAATCTTTATACATATGTATATATATACACTTGTATATATACCAAGTGACGGGGCGAACAAGTCGTGCATCTGGTGGAAAGCGACATGTCTGTCCATATCAGTTGCAGTATCACTCAGAGGTTAAATCGCTAAGATCTAAGGGGCACTGAGACATAAGTTTAGAAGTTCCATGTGCCTGTAATTTCACCAGCACCCTTACCCTTCAAAACCGGAACGCAGTAATGCTCATATTACCTTTTGGCGGCAGAAATAAGTAAGGCGGCAGTGCTTCCCTGGACGAACGCTTTCACAAGGAGCTCTGCTGCAACTATTACTTTGCTACTGCTTCTCATTAGTACCTGTCTGTCCTCTCTTTGGTTCAGGGAACATGCTCCATTCGCTGTCCATTTCATAAGTATACACCTTCAAATGTTCTGGATACTTGAACTCACTTTCTTGTTCTATGACCAGTGGAAAATCTTTGCCTTCTGAAAATAGATAAAACTGTGACCATTCAAACTCGTTATTCAAACATCAGACAAGGTGAACCATAAAGAATCTCATACTCACGGGAATAATAAGAATAATGCGAAGACTCTGGAATCCAATCATCCATTCCTTTGAGTTTCGTGGCTGGCAGGTATTGGTACAGGGCCCCAGCAGAGATGCCCATTGAAGGATCTATAATACGGGACTCATCAGTCATAGTTCCAGCTAAGGACTGCTCTAGGGTCTGTTCAGATGGCCTGCAAAAATTTATGGAAAAAAATTATCTAATAAATAATAATGTAAAAAAAATTCTCTCTCTTCAATCCAGCTGGACTAGAACCAGGGACATTTTTTCGCCTAACGCGAGCTATTGCACTCCCAACAACGAGTTAGCAGACCTCAAGGCCTCTCCACACTCGCGCGCGAAAACAAGAAAAAAAAAGAATCGTGGCAAGAATTGCCACAGTTCCACACCCGCAGAGGTACGCAACTGGTTCACCGTATAGTTCGCGCGCTTGACGAAGATAAGACGCCGAAGTTTCTGTTGCTGCTGCGGGACTACTTTTAAGCACGTTCAAATCGTCAACAATAAAAATACAAACACAACCGTCTGAGGCACTTACTTATCGGCAACTGACTGAGCCGCACGCGAATCTGGAGCCTTGTCGCATTCACGCCAAATTGGCGCTTCCGAAACCCTTTGGTGCGGAACAAAATACCGATACCGACAACAATCGGGAACGAGTCGCGAAGCCTCGAAGAATATGCGAATGGGATCCATACTCATGCTTCGCGGGTAGTTTACGGCTTCGCGCGCGAGTGTGGAGAGGCCATAACGAATTTCTCTATGTTCTCACTACAGATTTTTGTTTTTGGTTTTAACGTTTTTTTTTTGCCGTAGCGCCACTTGTGAGAAAACTACTCCTATGAAAGCTAAAGCTTCTGACGACTGTTTTTGTTGCAAAAAAAGGTAACACTTCTGTCAGTTTGATGATGAGATGTTCTCCAATTTATTTGATGTTTTGGGGAAGAAAGAGCGTGAAGTCTATTTAATACAAAAATTAGTAATTGATATAATTAGGTTTCATTTTCAAGCTCCTCAAATGTTTTCTCAAAATTAATTATTTTCCACAAAAAACAAATAATACTTTATGTAAAGAGGGTAGTAAAATTGAAAAAAAATACGAACCAAAATATTCATAAATTTTTGTGTTCCACTTGTTTTATAAATTTGGTACTTTGGGTTTTGTTGAAAAAGAAAAAGGGATGTACATATATACAAGATACCAGCCCGTTGCACCAAGTACCAAGATATATACAAGATGGGCAAAAGGGGAGACAATGGCGTAAATCCTCCCAAAAGTGATATCAGTGCCCAGTACTGGTCTTATGTGGGATGCGTCGGCGTAACGCAGATGTCTAGGTTGTCCGACAAATCTCACCCACTGAAGATAAACAATGGTAGCAATTCACACTTTTCCTCCAGAAATTTAATACAGTAAATGCTGGTACCTGTTATGTCTACATCATAGGTTAAATTTCTTACTAGGAACAGATTTATTTCATTTTCAGATTTAACTTGCATACATTGTCAGTGTGAATTTACTGGATTTATTTTTTGCCAGATATTAACATCCAAGGGTACATAACAATTTTATTATGCAAGGCAAAATAATACGGTCAGTTGTGACTTGTAAAGAATCTGAATCGTTGGATGGTTTGAAAGAACCAAATACAGTGGTGGACACATAATTAAAGACACTTAGAGAATATTATTTTTTCAAAGTTTACTTATCCTATATTTTTTTATTATAATGCAATAGGAGCTTGCAATATTATTTAAATTATTCTAACGGGTATCGTGAAATGTTTGAAATGAAATAAAGAGAACGAAGATGTCGTATTTTAAATGTTTATTAAGTTTCTTTAATTACACCGTTATAAACTAATACAAAAGCTTGGCCAACTAATTAAAGACACACAAATCATGTAACTGCAAAAAAAATATTACAAATGTTAAAACGAATTTGAGTATAAAATTAGTTTCAGATGTATAATAAGAAAATAAAAGCACGTTGTTAATATTTTGTCGCATGTCCTTTAGCAGCAATGACAGCCCGACACCGCCTCGGCATAGAAGCAATCAAATTATTGCAAGTTTCAATCGAAATCTGTTCCCATGCCTCTTTAAATGCCGTGTATAATTGATGCACGTTACTTGTACGTTTTTTTGCAACCATTTTCTTCACACGGGACCACAAGTTTTCGATCGGGTTAATGTCAGGACTATACGGTGGCCAATCCAAAACTGTTACTGATTGGCTTCTAAGAAATTCTTTGACCACTGCTGAAGTGTGTTTGGGATCATTATCATGTTGAAAAGTCCATATCACCGGCAAATGATCCTCGGCATAAGGTAACATGGTGTTTTCTAAAATATTTTTATATTGAAATTTATCCATGTTACCTTCTATTTTTTTAATAGGTCCCACACCGTGACCAGAAAAACATCCCCAAACTTTGATACTACCCCCTCCATGTTTAACAGTTTTTTTTGTGTATTTTGGATCCATTTGTTTTTTTGAAGGACGCCACACGTAAACTTTTCCATCAGAGTTAACCATATTTATTTTAGTTTCGTCAGAAAAAAGCACATTTTTCCACTGTCGCTCTGTCCAATGTGCATATTTTTTGGCAAACAGCAATCTGGTTTTGATGTTTTCTTTCTTCAAAAGGGGTACCTACCTTCCGAGAAATTCTTCCAAACAAGTTTGCCTCACATAATCGCCTTCTCACCGTTCTTGCAGACACTCCTCTAGATTCCTCTGCACCAAATACTTCCAAGCGAATGACTTCTGATCCTTTGAAAGGGTCTTTTTTAGCCAACAATTATATTCTTGTGTCTTCTCGCAGGGTTGTTTTTCGCGGTCTAGGTTTCCTAGGCACATTTTCCGTAGTGTTAAATTTCTTAAAATGCCGGATAGCGTTCATTACCATATCTTTCGAGCATCGCAAGTGTTCTGCAATTTTCCTATATGACCACCCTTTTTCATAAAAAATCAGAATTATCTTCCTTGGAAGGATCGCAACTTTTGCTTTTTCCCATAATATTTCAATTTAAATTTCACAATAAACTTAGAGCACGGCTAAAACTGAGTGAGATTTTGCGTATCACGAAAATTCGCTCAATATTAGAAAAAATCAGTGCTCTTTTTTATTTTTTATTTCAAGTTTAGAACACGAAATACGCACTGTCTTTAATTAGATGGCCAGCAGCTAATGTATCGAAAAAGTTTGAATGATATTTGAAACAGGAACTATGTAAACTCTTTTTAGTTAAACTTTGATACTGTTCTCATTTAAAAAAATATATGATGTCAGTGTATGTAAAATGACTATTAAAATGGAATTGATACCTATCTTGGGTCTCTAAATATCATTTAATTTGTTGTATGTGGTCAACATCAAGGGTGTCTTTAATTATGTGACCACCACTGTATATGCAATTTCAACCTGAAAAAAATGTTTCATAAAATATACTTAGAATATAATATTTATTTACTTTGTAATTCTTACATGTGTAATGGTTCCTGAATATCTTCCTCTCTACTCCTTAATGTAACATTGTTCACTTCAACTTTCTCTGGAAGGTCCCCTTCAGGGTAGATATTTGACAGTTCACCACTCTGTAACTTGCCAGTATATTGTTCTAATCTGTTATTACTTTCTAATGATACACTTGTTTCTGCCGGGTTATACTGATTGTTGAACTCTCGCTGTACTGACATTAGGTTTTTTAGACAATGTGCACCTGTAGTCACAAAGTAGAAAACAACTTTTTTTGCAATTGGGATAAATACATTAGTGTTGATTGCAGTAGTTTTTCTATTACTGTTAAAGTTACAGCCTTAAATGGACTTGTATCTGTAAAACCCGTACTTTGTTGTGTGATGTGTAGTGTTGAGTCATGGAAAAATTGTCATTTTCAAAAAATCATGTTATTCAGAAAAATAAAGATTTTTCCAGATAATTTTCAATTTAATTTTCCATATTTGGCGTTGACACCTGTCACAATTTTTTCGCTGTTGTGAAATCATTTCAAATCTCATTTTTCGTTAAGTGGCTTAAACCTATACAACTTTAATTTACAGGTAATTCATGCTAAATAAAACTTCAAAACATATTTTTAAATGTAGAACATAATATGAGCCTTTTAAATTATATTTTTCCAATTTTACAAATTTTTTGGTAATTTCCCAGAAATATTTCCACTATTTGTAATTTTTGGAAAATTACCCAACTTTTTAAACTTAAAATTACAGTATTACAAAAATTAAAATTACAGTAAAATTCAGTAAGTATGTCCCACTCTGCTCTCCTCATAACTAACTAACGCATTTGCAACTAACTTCCAAGATATTGGCACCTCTAAAATTTTTGTAAATAAAAAATGTCAATTGTGCTGATTTTGTTTAAGTGCGAGGCCAGACGAGCATAATTTTGTGAGTTGTGTAGTTTGAGTTGCGTAGTAGGTGAGGGAAGGGGTCACGTTGGTAATGATGCGCATGAGTATAGACGTTTCATGCGAAAGTGTTCAATAACTATGGAGATTAGAATATAAATAATTGAACAACTTACTTGATTGTTATTAATAGTCTTAATGATTATCACTATTTTCAGGCTTCTTACTAAGGGAAAATAAAAAGAAGTTATACAGTGGTAAAAAGCCTGAAATTAGTGATAATCATTTAGTGAATAACCACGAAAGCCTCAAAATCTTTATTATTAGTCTTTCCTCTGGACTGATGGCTCGTCTCTTATTTATATCTGACTTAGTAATAAAAGGTTTTACTTGGAATGTGGTAGTACTTAACAAATTGATCTGGATGTTCACATAAACTTGTATATAATATATGAAACTGCCCTTTACTCGTTTCATATTGAATGGATTTATCCAGCTTCTTTTTCTAACATCGTCTTCTAATGCTTCATAAATGCCTACTATTTTTAATGGATCCATAATACTATCACGACACAAACACCCCATATAAACGCTTAAAATCAACTGAATAAAATATGTTCATCTGGCGCTAAAACCTAATTTCGGTCAAGCGCAAAACTGTGCAACTCAAAAAACGCAACTCACAACTCACAAAATTACGCTTGTCTGGCCTCACCCTAACAGTAAAACTGAAACTAAATAAGATATTTAAAAAATCTATTTGAGGGTTGTAGGCTTTAGCTCGTTTTGCTGAACTCAGATTTGTTAATAAGTCAATTTCGCTAAGAATGACGATTACGTTAGTTATGATAAGAAAAGGTAGCTAATTACAGCTGCAGCAACATTGTAATTACAGGTAAAAATTAATTCTAACCTCTATTAGTAAGATATTCTTCGGTCTCCTCAGCATCTCCATAATTGTTTATAACAGCAACGTACTTGCATCGCCGTAATAGAGCTTCCCTAATTGGTTTCCATTGTTCGCCAAATACAGACCCGTAGAAGTCATCAAAATGGTTTAAAGCCTTGGATTTAGGGCTATTTTTCTGTTTATCCTGAAAGGAAGCAGTGATCTTTAATCACGAATACGGCAATTTATAATGTAGTACGTCTATTTAGTCATTTACACTTGAAAATAATGAACTTACCGGGTGAGTTTTCGATTTGTATCTGGCTTGAAGCACTAAATAAGTAATAGGACGAGTGTTTTTACCTATATTTGTAAAGTGAAACATTTTATTTTCTAGAAACCGTATGAAAACATGAAAGTGAGGTTACGTGTGCCGAAATGATAAAATTTGAACTTGACGTTTAAACCAGAATTGCCATAGCTAAATAATCAAAATTCCCGAAAATCAAGGTAATTTTTCTGTTATAGATATTATTAAACATAAATCAAAATAAATCAATCTTTCAAATTGAAATAATAATTCTGATACTCAAAATTAAACCATTTATTCTATGCAAATGTTGCAATATAAGCGAGACATGTGCGATGTTGAACAAAATATAAATATCATTCATAAATAAATAGTGTTGACATCGCTAATTTGTATTCGATTGATAAAAAAAATGGTAAAATTTTAGAATCCCTGCATTATAATCTTGAACGCATCATGAGAAATGTCAAAATTGACATTGTGTGAAAGAGACAGCAGTATATATATTTCTCGCTTGCTCCTATGCGCGCGAACCTGAAAGTTTAGTATTGATTTGTTTACAAAGGAGTGAACTGTGAGCTTTCTCGAGCATTTAGCCTGCACCTAGAGTTATAGATATATTCTACAACCTTGTCAAAACGATTGGAAGATAATTTCAACTTAATTACAGCATTCCGTGTCGGAGCTTTATCAGCTTTTCGTGCCAGCGACGAGGCGCGCCGCTAACTTTGGAGGGCTCTAAAAGCTTAATTACCTGTGCTTGGCCTGAGTTGTTTTATCGATTTCAATCCCTTTCGTGCTCTGATACACTAGTGAATTTCTAAGCTTGTATGGAACCTGATAGCATCTAAAAATGTGCACGGGAACGATGATATGTATTTATGGATATATTCGTGTAATAAATCTTCGGTAAGTGCACTGTTTGCTTTAGAAATTCATTATGTTACCGTCGAGTTGGTAGCTAAAGTTTGATAAAATATTTAAGGGTACGATAACTGCGATTCAGTTATGGAAAGCGGAGTGGTTGTGAATTAAAGAGGTGATTTAAAACAATAGTCATGTATGGGCTGCCGAATGTCGCACTGAGGACGCGTAACAAGGTGGAATGGACAGTGGCAGGCTGGAGGCAGTCCCACCTGGGGCAGTGCATCTGGACACAGTAAGGGCTCTGCACCAGACTGTTGTCTCCTTGCGAACTGCTCTAGAAGTCTCCAAGAATGAACTAAAGGAGTTGAAAGAAAAGTACGAACAACATTCTCGTTGCATAGAGTACTCTGATCTCATAGAAAAATTGACTTTAGAAAACCATATATTGAGAAGGAAGATAATAGATACAGGATTTGATGAAAAAGAGCAAAATGTACCAAATATAAAGCTAGAAATCACATGCAGCCCTAGACAGAATGTAGAAGAGAGTGAGGTAATCATACGTACTGCTACTACAGAACCTCATAGTGCTATTACTACAGATATAGAACTTGAGGAAAAACCTGAACAGTTAACAGAACATTCATTTTGCTCTGTTGAAAAGTTGAATGAAATCAAAGAAGAACAACTACAATCTCCAGGACTAAATGTTATAGAACTATCACCAGAACGTCAAGTGTCTAGCATCACACAGGAATCAGAAAAATCTGAATTGGAACAAGAGGAAATAGATGCTGATCAGGAAAAAAGTCAATTTACTACATGTAGAAAGTCATCAGAAGATATTCCAGCCAGTTTTAAAACAAAGTTAGAATTATTGTCAAAGTTTGATGTAAGGATAAAAGTACAGACTTTAAAAGAAGGTGTGACTACATCAAGTACAACTTCTGATAGTGATTCTACTATTGAAGAGAAGAGAGGTAAAGAACCAACAGACTCAAAATCTTTTCAATTTGAAGAGAAGAGGACACATTTTGAAAACGCTGAAGACAATCGTGGAAATAAAATAAGATTTAAAGCAGTTTCGTCTGAGAACATTAAAATGGCAGTGCCAAATGAAGCTGAAACAAAATCCAAGGTGGATAAATTTGATGTTCAAGTGCGGATCACATCTGAGGAAAATCTGGTTGTTAAGGAAAAAGCAGAGAGGAGCAGAAGAAAGGACACTCTTAACTTGGACGTTGATGACTTGAGTCTTAGGTAAGCAAGTAAGCATTTCCATTTTGAAATCAATATAATCTGCTAGCTGCTAGCTAACTAGCATTTTAAGTTGTAGCAAGCAAGCAAGCATAGCAATTTAGTATATTTTATTTCAAAAATGTCAAATCATTTTGTGGTTCAATTTTCATTATATGAGTGTATAGCTCAACTCACACTGGCGCACAGTCGAAGTGTCGCATCGCATCCTGTTTTTCAACTACAACACATGGTGACGCGCGTCATCGCGCGACGACACTCGCATTAGCGCGCCCGGATCACAGTGTGATTGGCGTCTGACGCGTCACTGCGCGCAACTAACGCACGGCGACGCCCGAAACCGCTTGACTTTAACCAAACGTATACGCGAAGGCGCGCGTCGTCGCGCGATTCCATATTTGCATAACACAAATTTGTACCTTAATAATGGCAAAATAGAGATGAATACGCTATATGCGACAAAACATGACACGTGTCGACGCTTCGACTCTGCGTTAGTGTGAGTTGAGCCTAAGAATTAGGTACAATATTGTTATGGTAACGATACCTCCAATGAACACTATGCCAGCCTTATTTTTTATTAATTTTCTGTTATTTTTGTAAACGTTATATTTATTTAGTAATATTAGACTCCCCGAATTTTATGAAAAAAATTAAAAAACAAAATAAATAATAGAACAGGTCCAAAAATTAAGTTGGCGTACTGTTCATAGGAGGTATCGATAATATGTTGAGTAGAATAATTATCTGAAATATGTCCATATACCTTTTTGCAACTACCTGTATTATTTTTGCATACACATCGCGACCTATTCAGCTATGCCTCAATTCAGCACGATTGTTTACTTGATTAGAATGTTTTCCAGATCTCTTTCAGAAGGCGACAACTCAGTATTTTCAGAAGGGGGGCAGACTCCCGTAGACCCCAACACTATTCCTCAAGACGACAAAGACCAGGACAACGGTAGTGGCAATGAGTCGGAAGAAGTTGATGACATAGAGCTCATATTCACCACTGACGAGTCCAAGGACATGAGTAATTTGCAGGTACGTAATCTTACGTTTTAGACCTAATCACCTCTATATAGAAGAGAAGACTTAGGAATATTAGGCGGCAGCATCCTCTTAAATACTATGATAATTTCATTATTATCTGCGGAAACTTTTAATTAGCCCTCAGCATACATGCACTGGGCTATCTGGCGTGTATTATATACAAAATAATACAAAATAAAAATGAAACAAACTGAAACAATTTTCGTAGGGCCACAAAGTAAACAAATTTTGCTAACTAAAAATGGAGGCATTAGTAGGATTTCTTTTCAGTTGCCTCGAAACCTCGAAGTACTCTAGAACCTACATAAATTTGATGGCAAACGTTCATAAACCGTACTCGCAAAGCTCGAGGAGTAGAAACTTTCCGTGCATACACTTACACGGAAGTGATCGCGTGTGACTTCGCCGTAAGTTACCTTGCACAGTGGTTGCTTTAAGAGGACCTTTGACATTCTTTAAATTAGAATTTCAATTCGCGAGAACTTGCATGCAAGAGTTCGTGTGGTTTCCGTTTACAACGTACAGAACCACATAGATTTTGCAGTGCATGTTGTAGAAAGTGGGCATATATAAATTATATTCTTCAATATTAGATTGTAGCTTTACACGATTGTAGTGATTTCATGCCATGTTTCCTATTTTAGCTAATTCAAAATCCAGTGGACCTTTCACGAAATATGGCACAAAATAGTGCACTTATCTTTTTTCTTCGAAATACTTATCGTCGTTTCGTAAAAAGGGCGAAAGCGCCATTTCGATAAATTTTTCAGGGGAGCATGTTTTAGCGACTGTTTTCATATGTTTTAAAATTCAGTGTTGGTTTTAATTAAGTTTAAGTATTAAAATTGAATTTAAAACAGAACGTAAAGATTTTAAAACAATCGTGAAAAACTAAAACATGAAATATTTTTCGCCCTTTCTACCAAAGACTGACGATATACAACGAGCTCCTTCCTTGTTAAGCGCTGCAAATTCAACTTTTGTTTGCGTGTAAAAATGCGTCTAAAATGACAGTCGTTTATTTCCCGTGACAGTAAGGGGGAGCTCGCGACTATGTATTCAAAGGCATGCGAAATGCAATTAATCATACGATCGATCGTCGGATATGTTACGGAAAATTTAAGCGTACCTCATTTTTCCGATGTAAATTTTAGTTTTTATCGTACCACTTTTATAGAACATCATTTTTTTTCGTTAACTAGGCCAGTTCACTAAATTAGGTCACCTCATGTAAGTACTTAAGGGTGAATGGAACAGCGGTATCGCGAACTCGCTTGAACAATTTAAAAAATACACGATGCTTGTTTTGCAGATTTATTTTATTTGACATTTCTTGCATAATTTCAATTTGCTTGCAAATATACTCACGCGTTTGGATTCCCGTTGCGGTAAGTGGGCAAACCTGTCTTGCCTGCAAATGTAGTGAATACATTTCTCAACCTTTTCATATGCTTCCCTCTCACCTCTCATTCTTCTCACTACGCGCACCGTACTTTTTATACAGCCATACACGCTATAACGTCGTCTTCTTCAATCGATGCCATGTCGAAATTGACTGACACCTCTCCGGCCGGATAGTCCCACATACGCTACGATAAGCGGCCTGTACACCTGCGCAAGTGTATGACCGGCATTAAGAATGGTCTCGATTTTATGTGAAAATGTTCTTTTCTCAAGTAATAAAATTCATTGATCCAGGCATTGACTTACAAATAAATGGACGACGGGTCTAATACAAAAACCACGAAAAAAATGTCCCAAGTCAACCTATTCGAAATTTAAATTGTAATGTTCTCGCAGTATCGCGCTGTCAGTAGAACAAATGAAGACTAAAGCGGAGTTTGGCGCTCTGTATACGATTTTAGCGCCTTACAAGTGCGGACACTTTAGCGCGGACCCGACGTCCATATAATTGTAAGTCAATGGATCCAGGACAATTTTTCACAATTAGTATATCTGGATGTCATTTATAATCGTGTGGCAGCTAATATTAGCTATCTACACATTCGTGCCAACCTTATGTTTGGATTATGGTCATACGTACGTCTATTGTACCTATATAAAAGTAAAAAAGAACTTTTTCAAATCATGACTACATTCTACTGCTGTTACGGTTCACTGGGCAGATATTTCCTGGACAGCTAGCAAGGCCCTATTTTTGCTGCAATATTGTGTTCCATATTGACGGGTAGAGAGAACCAGCACTATGACAGGCATAAGGGACTTACGATCTTACGTTCTGCCATAAAAGTTCGTTGGAATAACAAATAAGGGGCGATAACTACTTTCTATGTAGATCGTCTAAATAATTGCGACTTTTAATACCATACAAATAATCTCTAGATTGAAGTACACTATGTAACAAAATTTTACCCCGTTTCCCCATACTTAGAAAGTACAAAAAATGTTGATTATGCTCTAAAAAGTTTGTTTTTGTGGTCAGAACATTAATATGGGAATTTTTGACGTATATGGGTATATGTAACATATATTCTATTCATTATCCTGAGCACAGAAGCAAAGTTTGGAACGCATAAGGTCATTTCCCAAAACTTTTTAGACATAGCAAAGCAGGAAATGACACCCAAAAAGATTGAAGGGTGTTAGGTAATGCTGTCACCTACATAACAAAGTTTTACGACATAAATTGGACGTAGTTAAACAAAAAGCATCCAATGCACATCCAGTCTCTTTCGAGATTCGGAAGTTTGAAGTTTAAAAGTATTTTTCACTCTATTTCTCGTTTTATTTTCAAAACTTATAATATCATGTAACTCGAGATATTTATTTATGTTTATATGTTAGATTTTTTTGCTGATCATGGTACATATTACTCATTTTTTGATAATTTTGTGGATTGGATCCTTTATTGGATTTTGCTTAGCTACGTCCAATTTAACCCGCTTATGAGTTAAAGTTAACGAAACTCTGATAACACGTGAAGTCCCCGACATTAAACACCCACCGTTCCGGCTTTGGTTAGACACGGAATACATAGCTTACATTTTCTTACAGGAGGACCTGGTATCCATTCGCGAAGGAGAACCATGGGTTCCAACCTCCGCATCGACTCACTCCACACCAGTCCTTATTAAGTTTCACACTTTAGATCCTGACTTCCAGCCGGGAGGTGACCTTTACGACGACAATGTAGAGAACGGCAAAGCTGTCACTGAATCTCCTAGAATGAAAAGGGTGTCACTCCCAAGCGACACTGATATACGTAACGTGCCATTCAATGGCAGAAGCCTTGATATGCCTGGAAGAGGTATTTTAAAAAGCTACGATAATAAGTCGGATAATATGTTATATAGGAAAAGTCCAAGCGCGAGTGCAAGAAAACTCGACAGTGTAGACAGTCTGGTGTGCGAGTATAATCGAGGCATGAGTTTTGATACTACGAAGTCATCAAGTTTCGAGATGGGGTCCAGTATGGAGATTCTCCAAAGGGAAGAGAGCATGGACAGTTTTCACAGAACCAGCCATTTGGGGCATCGGTTCTCTGTGTTTGCTGAACCTGATATTTCGAAATGCGGTATTTCTGAAGAGGATTTGGGTGTAAACCTTAATGTTAGGAGGAACACTTGCCCTAATCCGTTCCAGTATAGGTGAGTTGTTAAAGTTACTTGTAACAGCACTAGACAATCACATCAATTACCTGTAAGGTTGCATGGCAGGGCGCGACATGTGCGAGAGCGACGTAAAACGGTTTTAGTAGCCATAGAGCACCTTGTGAAAGAGTTCATCCAGGGAAGTCCTGCCACCTTACCTATTTCAGCTATCGATTTAGTAATGTGAGCATTATTGCTTTCTGGTTTCGAAGGGTAGGGGTGCTGGTGAAATTACATTATTACATTTATTCTTTCTTATAAATAAATGTAAGAATATATGGGACCAGAATTTTTTCGGTACTATTTACGCACTTGCTACAAAAAAATAATCTAGATTAAAACGATTATTGGTTGAATGTAATGTTGTTTGAAGACCGTCAGCGTACCGCGGCGTGTCCCGCGCGCCAGGGCCGTTCAAGGCGGGCGGCATGGCGGGTCGCGTGCGCCCCGTGCTGCGCGACGGCAGCGGCCCGCGCCGCGAGACTGGCGCCCAGACCGACGTCTCCGCGCTACCGCCGCGCTGGGGTTCCGATGGATACCTGGCTTATAAAGTGAGATTACATTTCTAATTTAGTTTTTATTGAATGTTATGATGTTTCACCACCAAGATATTCAATATTTTTTTGTGAAATTACTTCACTATACTCTAAACAAAAAGTTTACAAAATACGTATTGATTCGTATGATTTAGAAATAAACATAAGTTTTTGCATCCTATTAATATTTACTGCCAGATGATAAAAAAAAGGGTAATGGTGTATGAAAACACACAAAATTATAAGATTTTATTTGATATTAATTTACTACATATTGTATCATCTAGAATCGCTTTCCGATTCCGAACTTATACCACATCCGATACCACCGGAACTCGAATGTGTGCAATTTCTCCCTTCAAATCGAAAAGTCACTAGGGATGACACAGTTTTACAAATAATTAATTATTGATCATTTTTATGTCATTTGAAACTTCCGTTGAATAAATATTATTCATTACAAACATGGCTTCAAGATTTAGTATTATACATAATCTAGTTGAATTTCGTAAAAAAAAATATTGAAATTGTAACTGTGAAAGAGTCTGAGATGAAAACCTTAAAAATCATACGTTTTTGTTTGTTGGCATTTGTTCTACATCATATTTTTCTAGAGTATAGTTAGTTATAATTGTTAAACAAAGATCGAACATATCGAGTTCTTAGGTATTCGCGATTGTTACACATAGGTAATGAAACTATTTAAATAGCGTATATTTGTTTTTTCAAACAAACCAACGTTTCGGGCCCTTTACAGGTCCCATGGTCACGGTTGACTGAGGTGGTACGGTCTTCAACCAGTTATGTCTAATATTGATGCAAACCATCAAATTTTTACTATAGTTACATACAATAGTTATTAATTAAATACCTTATTTTTAATTTTACAAAGAAAACATTTCAATTTACGCTATTTTAAGTTTTACAAATTATTTCATTGAATGAATTTTTATTAAGTTCAATTTATTATTAATTATTAATAGAAATTAGAATAAACTAAAACATATTAATTAGTACGCCAGTCTTATGTCTGTTTGGGATTTTTCATTAGAGGAAATACTGGATCCCAAACTGGTGGTACGGAGAAACCATCTTCCCTGTTGAAATTAGGATGTTTTTTAATTTCAATGGCCTCTCGCAGCATCCTGAGTAGATAACGGACTTCTTTTGCAAGGACCTGGGGTTTGTCAAACTTCATTGAATGTGTAGGTTTATCCACGACATGCTCGCAGATTGCAGACTTGTTTACGCGACGGTGTTTGATATCAGCTGTATGTTCTTTGACGCGGGTACAAATACTTCGCTACGTTTGTCCAATATAAGAGAGACCGCACTCACAGTCAAGCTTGTAAACTCCTGCATCCTGTAAGGGGATGTTACATTTCACGGATCTCAGGAACTGAGAAATCTTCCTCAGGGGCTTGAAATAGTTCTTGATAGGTGTACGCCTGAGGACTCTTCCTCTTGATCTTGTCTGTAACACTTCTCACGTAAGGTAAAATGGCAGGTCTTCGCTCGACTGTTGGCGGTTTTACACGGGGCCTGCGGTATTGGCGTGGAATCTTCAACTTATTCGCATGTAGGACTTGCTTTATATGCGGAAGTTCCCCTGCCAGATGATTACTGTCGCAGACACCATGTGCTCTCTGAAACAAAGATTTGCCCACGGTAGCTAACTGGCTAGGATGGTAATGGGAATTACCATTGACATACCTATCTGTATGGGTTTTCTTTCGAGATCGAAAAAAATCACTTCGATCCGGTTAGATTTGAACCAACGTCTCCTAGCAATCCGTGGCAGACGCTATGCCAACTAAGCCACGGAGCGAACCAAGGGACCTCATGATTTTTTCCATGTGCTTGTTGCAAATCTTTGTTTTTGGTTCTGCCATCTGAGAAATCTACGAAAGTTTTTAATTGAGATTACATTTTCTAATTTGTTTTTTCTTTCTTACGTGTTATATACTTGTATTTCATTCATACCTAGGCCGAGGGTTGGGTTCCCAATTCTAGGACCTACCCACAAACCTGAAAAGTGTTACAGACGATAAAACGTTATTATATAAAACTGTACAATTATTATACCTATGTAAATTTCGTTATGTTTATAATAAATAAAATAAAATAAATAAATATAACCAATTAAAACTCCGTTTGTGGGATCTTTTCTACAGTGTACAAGCATTTATTTCGAAGAAATTGTAATTTTATGTTGTTTCGACAATATTTTGTGTTTATTTATATTTTTGGTTACTATTTTATTTTATATTTATTACTATTGTTTATTAACCGACTTCTAAAAAGAGGGGTTCTCAATTAGACGGTTTTTTTTGTATGTATGTTACGCGTTAATTCCGGTTTGTGAAACGATTTTGATGATTCTCTTTTGTTGGAAAGAGGGTACCTCATAGTGAACACATTTAAATTTGAAGAAAATATTCCACCTCTAATGGTGGCAAACTAGGGGGAATGACTTTTGAGGTTGGTTTTTTTAGTACGCTGTACTGAGATTGTTGTAAATTGTAGTATTCTGTATTCTTCTATTCACACATCAAATATCATTCGGTAGTGTAGTCAGTACCTAATTTAATTGCAATTTTTGCATTATTTCTATTAGTGTTCATTTACGATATTTGTAAATAGTGATTTTTATTGTTTACTAATGAATTAGGACAATTTTAAGATTCAGGAATCTTAATATATTTTCTTTGATTCACAGATGGCGCCACCGACAGTACCGACGCTGCCGGGGCGCAGTTCCGGCGCGGCGGCGGCGGCCCGGCGCCTGACCGTGCCCGACGCTCGCCCGCCGCCGCTGGTGCGAAGAACTGACGAGACACGACGGGTGCTGCTAAGCGACATCGGTTTGTTACATTACCAAAAAAAAAAGATGGCGTCGGCAATATTTAAAAATCTAAAAATTTTTTAGTTAATTTATACTTACTATTACAATGAGTTACTTACTCGTTTTTAAATAATTAATGCATTATTAATAATGGAAATAAATTAATTTGATATTCGCTAAACACGGTGCAGTTTAAATCGTGCAAATAGCGGCGCTTGTTGATATTTTTTATTAACTGCATGAAAAATAATCAATACAAGCTGAGCTATTTTGTTCAAAATTTAACCTTCACTGGGTTCGTGGAATAGCAATTTTTTTTTTATGGTAAAACAAAACTTATGGCGAATATTTTTCAAAATAAGTATATACTCCAGCGACACCTGACTGTCATTCACGTTTTTCTCAACATTGTTTTTCATACTGCATTTTCAAATCATAAACACATATCATACAAGGTCATATAAAACATGATTATAAACAAATTTACTATGATACTAGGTAGTGGATTTGTTGCATGACTTACGGGCATTATTTAATTTGACTACCTCCTGCTGTCTCTATTTTTCTTCCGATACCTATTTCTGAAACCTTACTTATTTCTGTCGCCAAGCTGTAACGTGAGCATCTATACTGCGTTCCGGTTTTAAAGAGTAAGAGTACTGGTGAAATTACAGACACATGAGATTTGTCAACTTATGTCTCAGGGTGACGAGCGCAGTGGCAATGCCTCTCAGATTTTTGCGATTTAAAACTCTGATAGACTCTGCAGCTGCTATGGACAGGCGTGTCGTTTGCCGCCAGGCGCACGACTTGTTCGCCCCATTACTTAGTATCATAAAAAAATCTGCCAATATGGACATTTTTTTTTATACCAGTTTTAAAAATACTGTATGTAAGTGAAGCATATATCGCACTGCTAATACAATAGTGTATTAACTCAAAAAGTGAATTTATTCAGAATAGCTGAAAAACGAATTACTCAATTCCCGTGAAAGAATATTAAAATTTATGTATAGGTTAAAATGTATTAGACATCTAAACAACTCCTACTTGCCAATTAGAAGTATATTTAGAAATAAAAATAAAAAAATAATTTCATATTTTTGAGTAAGGACTGTTTTGTCCAGAAGTAGCTCACAACACATTTGTCTCATTCTGGGTTAAGTAGATATATTTTCATGGTGACAATATTCTAACGACAATTTTATTGACGTGTAGAGAAACAATTTTTACGTTCAGAAATGGTATAATATTGAATTTCACATATCTTGAGTTACAACACTATTGTAATAGCAGTGCTATATCTGATTTCTGTTTTTTGATTGCACTTCCAGGTTTCACGTCAATGGTGCCGGAGTTGTCCCGTTCTGCCGACCCAGTGTGGGCATTAGCTAAAAAAGCGCACAACGACGTAGAACCCACCACCACCTCCACTTCAAAGTAAGAGTTCTCTTCAGCGCTAAGCCTTGGACCTCACTTGTTTGAAAATAATTGTTAGAAAACACAAGGAAACTTCTAAGTTATTGCAATACTTATTTTATTGAATATCGTGACATTTTTACTACCATGACATTCAAATGTTTTTTTGTGAAAATAGTATCTAATAGAGTAGCGATGGGATCAACTCGAGTTGACGTGATTGCCGACTCAAATTGCAACTCGAGTTGACTCAACTCGGTGTCTGACAGAGCAATCGCGAGTCGCGAGAGCGACGCGGCGTATATGAACTGAGAAATGGTGAAATTACAGGCACATGGGACTTGTTAACTTATGTCTCAGGGTGACGGGCGCAGTGGCAGTGCCCCTTACATCTTTGCTATTTAAAGCTTTGAGTGACACTGCAACTGTTTTGGACAAGCGTGTAGCTTACCATCAGGCGCACGATTTGTTCGTCCCGTCACTTGATATTATAAAAAAAAACACGAACAGACGGTTTATCGAGTTGGGCATGATCGGCCGGCCGACTGCGGCTAGATCCGCATGTTGAGATCGCAAACAGACGCTAGACGCTAGAATAAGCACTGTGAAAGGTACGGGCGTACCGAGGCAATAGATCTACACGCACGAAACGCGCACCCGCGTCCGCCTCGAGAAAGGCGCAGACGCGCGCGGACACTGTGAACGTAACGAGCGTCTATGTACATTTGATTTACACGCACCCGCGCCCTCTCCCGCGCCCGTCCCCGCGCTCGTCCTCGCGCCCGCACCTGCGCCCACACCCGTGCCAGCACCCGCGCCGCCACTCTGAATAAGACCTATAGGAACCGCTGTCGCCAAAACGCACACAAACAAATGATAAACACCACGAAATTTTGATAACGATTGGTCATAGTTTCTAATTTAAAAAGATGCAAGAAATGCTTGGTTGTTTATATAATTTAAACTTTACCCAGTCGCTATACCGTTGAAAGTTCAATACCTTTATTGCAAGTTACCACGTTTTGGTTTTATATTGAAATTTTTCAACGTGCTGCCATCTCGCGGCCAGTAGCTGGACTACGACGAACGATTAACATCTAAATCAATTCGATAAACTGAAAATTTATTAAAATAAGACGTACCGATGATATGAAATACTACTACGGGTAATATTTTTGGTGCGGCTATCATTATTGCACTCCAAAACAGCACAATAAGGCATTTATCTGCGATATTAGAGAATTTGCGCGAAAGAATGACGCAACCATACCGTACAAAACAAAAATGGCGGACTGAGTTCAAGTAGGTCTTTCGAAACCTACGGTTGGCACGCGTCTGGCGCTAACTAACCACTTCTACTGTATTTATTGTTCTGTGGCTATATGAATGAAGTATTCGACTCGTCGGGGTGGATACTTCGAAAAGTAGCTCGAGTTGACTCGGTGTGGGGGTAACTCTACACCTTCATCGCTATAGTACACTACTCTTAAAACTTAAGGTTAATGTTTCAATAGGTTCGTGTCGCGCGGCTCGTCGTACCGCTCGCCGTGCGTGAGCCTCGACCGCAGTTGGATGGACGGCGAGTGGGTGCGCAACCTGCAACTGCCGATGCACAAGAGAGACAAATGTAAGCATTACATTACGCTTTACCAACATCTCACGGCTTAATTCGGCTCTCCGCTAAATAAACACACACACACACACACACACTCACACTCACACGCACACTCGCGCTCACACACACACACACGCGCATGCGCACGCGCACGCGCACGCACACGCACACGCACACGCACACGCGCACACACACACACACACACACACACACACACACACACACACACACACACACACTAAATAATAAAAAAAAAGGCTCCAGCTACCATTGCTTAAGAAACCATGTTTGAAGATAAATAAAGATTATTATTATTATGGAATACAAAAATAGACATAACTTTCGTCAAGTGTCATGTTCAATTTTACTTGTTAACTCTACCGTACGTTGTTTAAAGTGATTGAATATGAATTAAATTGAATGATAAAATATGAGTCGCCCGGACAGGGACTTGAACCCTGGACCCTTGGATTAAAAGTCCAATGCTCTACCGACTGAGCTATCCGGGCAGTAATGGCAGTATTGAAACGAAAATACACATCGAAGAATAAAGACCTTCCAGTTGAGTCATCGAAATGCCAATAGAGTAAGAAAACAATCGGGCAAATTAGCAGCTTAATAAACAGACTGTTATAATCATAACATAATATTGACTCTTAAATTAACGTTTCACGCATATTTGTCATCCACTTTTAAATTTAAATTGTTAAATCAATTGATTAGGGAGGTCAATGTTACGCTTCGGTTAATTGCATAAGAAAGAAAATAAAGAAATATAAGAACATATTCTATAATATAAGTAACTTCGTAATTTTAAAAAAATTTGAAAGCTGCGTTCTCCTTTGCAGCTCTTAAATTTCTATCCTTAGGTTACCTGGAAGAAATAGCTACCTAGCAATACGGCCGACTCACTCTGTTTCGTGTAGAACAAGCTAGCTGGACAAAATTATTTTCGATTGCAATTCGTTTCGAATGCCTCTGCTAAGTGCAACTATCAACATTTCTACTGTTAAAAATCTCCAGAATCTACTAAAACAGGTACTTTAGACATTGAAATGCGTATTAGAAGGAACATAATATTTTATTTAGGAAACAAATAGAAAAAAAACACAAAGTTATTATAACCAATAGATCTTACAATATATATAAACTAACACAATGTGTACATAATTAACCAAATGACTTACTAAATTATAACTAATTAAATTAATGAAAATTGGTTTTTTTCTATTCATTTAATTAACCAATTTTGTGAGAGAGATTTTATTCTTATAATTAACCCTATCGATCGATGCAATAAAAGTGCAGGGTGCATTTTTTCAGATTAAAGCTGGTTCGATTTCCGCGAGTGAAATTTTCGAAAATCTATGAATGCAGTTTTATTTCTTTTAAAAAATAAAGGAATGTTTCCGTTAAGTAAAAATTTCTATCTCCAGTATTTAGAGTATTTTCCCTCCAGGTGGCATTACAAACTACCACCCTGTATACTCGATATAAACTAGCTTTCTCTGTCATACTTACATTACTGTTCTGTGTTGTCATTGTAATTTTTTATGTGCAGTAAAGAATATTTCATTCCTTCATTAATTCTACTGTCAAGTCAGGTCAGTGGTAGCAGAGTTATTTATTATTATTTTTTTAATCATGCAAAACTTCACGATTTCCAGTTGACGTTCCGATATCGCGGTACTCCATGCCAGACGTGCGCTGCCCCTTGCTCGATTACGAAACTGATCTTCTTATGAAAGAAGCAGACACCATGCTACGGACGTCTCTGGACGACTTGCACGACCCACCTTTTCATTGTAAGTATACCTACTAACGTGCCACTTGCATTTTCTACATTATTTTTCTTCAGTACATATATACGAAATCTTAACGGGAAATTCTTGACCAGTCCACACTGTATAGAATAATAACAACATAAGTAACCGGGGAAATGTAAAAGGTAAAGAAGAAATCAATAAATACCTTTAATTAAGCAATAAAATTCATTTTGATTTAACTGCAAAAACCTTACATTAACAGTCAATTTGTCTTGTCATAACACTGAGTCTTCTAACCCTGATATTGGCGCAATCATCGCGTAAAACGACAGAGCCATATCTTCATAAAAGTTGAACTTGGGGAACTGAAAAATTGTTTTAATGTATAGTAAAATCATGATAATTTTTTTATAATAAAATTCAAACTGATATGATGATATGTTGTTATTGTTTCAACAGAATTGTATTATTGACATTTTTTGTGAAATAACTCCACTAGTTTTGTTATGATTAATAGAAAGATCGAACACAGAAAAATTTCGACCCTATGGGACTTGCACCCTATGCTGCACCGTAGCATTGCTCTTACTAACTGAGCCACAGGTCAGGACTTGTGTGTGTGTTCGATCTTTGCATTAATCATGACTATGTAACAAATTTTCAAAAAGGTTCTGTTTCCGATTTGATTGTATTAGGTTTAGCAGCAAGTGTGTAGAAAAGAGTAGCTATACCTCTGAAACTTTGCTTTTGTAGCTGTCACAGTGGTATATTGAGACTTTTTAACAATGCGACATTAAATCACTCTGAATTTGATTTGTTTTACATAAGCATAGACACAGTCAGGCGAGAAATGACCAAACGTCACTTTGCCACGTCACGTGACTGGCAATGATTACACACTTGTATATTATTGTTTTTTGTTATGTAACTATGTTCTTTGTTTTTTTCTCTAATTAAGTATGTTGCGAGCCGAAGTTACAAAAAAAAATCAATTTACTTAATTAATTTATTAAAAGAAATTACAATAAAATTACAATGTAAAAATTATGGACGATAAGTAATCGAAGTTGGATTACGAATGCCGCGATATCCGATGCCCCGGGCCACCGTTTCTGCCTTTGACGTCAGTGCGGTCACGTTGTCTTCGAGTACGGGGCTGACGCTGCACCCCGTGTAGCGAACAAGCGCGAAGCGACGATGATGCGCCTCGTGCAATAACTATGTTTACAGGTCGCCGCTTATTCGGCGATTCCCTTACGATCGCCTTTAACACTCTTAAAATCTCTTTTTGGCTTGTTAAGCACTTGAAATTTGAATAGTTTCATGTTGGTGGAAATTCGTAAATGGCATTGGATTACTCATATTCAAGTGTACTATAATTGTATTATTTGTCCGTGAATTTTCCTAAAATGTAAAAATAAACAAATAAATATAAATAGCTGCCTATTTGCATAGCTACATAGTGGTATTTACATAACCTCGCAAATCTGCACATTTCTAGGTTCTTAGTCATCAATTTGTAGAATTTTTGTTGAAATATAATATTGATTTTAAATATAATGTTCCCATTTGTCTGTACGTATCTTTAATGGTACGCAAATTTCAACTTCGCTGTCCTGTGCACAATAGCAAACCCTAAAGTTTTTTCATGTTTTTTATGTTAAAACCAATTAGACAGTGATAACACAGAAACAAAAAGTCGTGTAATTTGTCGATTTAGCAGCTTTATCTTTGGCGTTCGTAAGTTAATGGCATGCACAGAGACATTAAGCAATTCCGAACCGAATGTGAATTCTCGCTCGAGCTGGATATTAAGAGTATAATATGAAGTAAATTAATTTACGTAGTTCTTAGGTTTTCGCGGTTGCTATACATTGGAAATGAAACCATCGTTTCGGATCATTGACTTACAATTATATGGACGTCGGGTCCGCGATAAAAAGTGTCCGCACTTGTAAGGCGCTAAAATCGTATACAGAGCGCGACACTCCGCTTTAGTCTTCATTTGTTCTACAGACAGCGCGATACTGCGATGACATTACAATTTAAATTTCGAATAGGTTGACTTGGGACATTTTTTTCGTGGTTTTTGTATTAGACCCGTCGTCCATTTATTTGTAAGTCAATGTTTCGGATCTAAACCGTGTATATTTGTTTTGTTGCTTTTTCTTGTGTGATGATTGATGACTTTACCATCTCAGTCAACCGTGACCATGAGACCTGTAAAGGGTACCTGTGGGCTACCACAACCTCTTAAAACAATATTACTTTAACCTTACATTGACTTTTCGTACCAAGACGCGCTTAAAGTAAGCTTCATGTAATGTTAAAACTATGATTTTATTGGCAGCTTTTTGACTATTGATTCACTCAATTCGTACTATGACGCGACTTTAACATTAAAGTAATATTGTTCTTATGTGAAATTTAGCAATCTTTAAATAGTTACTCGGACGCAGTGGAAACAATATTATATTCGAATTTATTGTCTAAATATTGATTTGTAATGATTAAAAGTTAAGTTGAACTTATTTACATAAATCTCTTCAATATTTTGTTTATTTTTTTATTTAATAGTACATAGGATCAATCATTTCTCGTTAAATAAAAATACGCGATGTTTATTTCGTAAAATTATGACAGCGACATCTATACGCTCCTTGGCGACACTAACATTTGACACTAGACTATAATTCCGAATTCACAACGTGACTATCAACGCTCAGCTTGTTTTATTTATTTTTCTTCATAAAAATGCGGAAAAATAATTGAAAACAACTAACTAAAAAAATTTTAATAGATTTTATTATTACATACTTTTTTAAAGTTAAAATTTTTTGAATGTAAATAACATTAAATACAATATAATATAATAAACATTATATTACGATTCGGAACATTAAAAAAAAGAGATGGCATTATATAGTTCATATAGCGTTATTTCTTTCCTATTTCTAGTAAGGAATAGATAATATTGGGAAATCATTCGTTCTTTCAATCACTTTAGCAATAATACATTACTTGGTTGACAAGTTTGTCATCGTACGAATATGAGTAATATTATAATAAGTTTAGTTTATGCTTACATTGAAATAAGATTGCGTTTGGAAGGGTTATGGTAGGCCGCCTGCACTTACGCGATTTAGATCCGACAAAATAGTTCATGTCTAAATGAATAATAATAAAAAAATTCTATTGAACTTACTTTCACTGCTAAGTATAATTTTCCTATAATACCACCTTTTAGTGGACACAATCCAGCCGATGGGCAAGCCGTACGTCCCATTAGAGCCGCGCCATCTTAAACTTGGACACTACGTGAAAGTGATCACTCCAAATGGAAGGATTGCGCTCGGCCGAGTAAGGTACGTTAATAGAATAAATGTTCGTAATAAAACTAAGATCAGTTGGGGTAAGAGGAACGCCGTAAACGAACGAACGTAAGAGGACTTGAAGCCGTAACTCATAATCTAAAGAGTTTACTTATATATTATATATTTTAATTCATTTGTGGTGAGAGTACCAACTCAACATCTGTCGACCTTCATGAAAGATGAATTTTGGCCGAAGGGCGTCATGTACCGACGTTTCCGAGGCCGGCTATCTGACACCCACGTTGCGTCACACGTCGCAGACAATACGTGTAAATAATAATTAGTCAGTAGTGTTTTTATTGTATTATTTTGTATGTTAGTCTCTAAGGTATATATTTATGGGTCTTTGTTACCTGTATGCAAATTAAAAAAAAAAATATATAGTCACTAAGTCGATAAAATAGACAAACAAATTAGTGCAAACGATTTTAAAGAGATGTCGCTGCTTCAAATACGAAAGGCGGAAAAAATAAATTTGACAGTTGCGAAATCTTGAGAACACGAGCTTATACATTACCTCTTTAAGAAATACGATGACTGTTCCTCTTGCTCCATCTTTTGGGGGAAGAGCTATACAAGCCAATTTGCACGTTTTCGGCAAATATGTACACCGTAAGTATCGAATTAAGCGTAATGATTGCTAAAACATGTAAATCTGGTGAATAAAGGCGAGTTTAGTGAGCTTCAAAATTATTATGAGACTATCTGTGGCCATAGCATGGCGATATATCGCTTGCGATATGTGATAAATCTTCCCGTTACACATTTACCTCAGTTGAAGCTATCTTGCCATTATATATTTTTTTTGCGAATACCATACCAGTCTCATTCGTTCATTTGTTTATTTCATTATGAACTATCGTTATACATTTTGAAGAATAAGGATAATAATTTGAAATTGCGTATATAGCCATCTTTATCGTTTAATCATTGCCGCGAAAATTGTAAACCTTTCAATTGCATCGTTGTAAAACGACGAAACAAAAAATGGCGGGTTTTTGTAATTTCAGTTTTTACATTGCATTAGTTTTTATTTACGTATTTCTAATTACTCTGAATGTATAGAACTGTATAAAAAATGCCCTTCTCACTTTTTGCCAATAGTTTATATACTATGCAACCTGCTTCTTTTTTTTATTTCTTTTTTACTCGTCTGTCGAGCTCATTTTATACGTTGATAAAATTATTGTGCAGAAAAAATCAGGTGTGACCTTGCAGCCATGTCTGGCACAGCGATATACTTTCACGGTGCTCGCCATATTCGCTATTGTGATAAAATTAAAAAATGGCGGTTTTATCACTCGAATTTGACAGCTAAATGTGGATATAATAGTAAAACTATTACGCGGCGGAATGCTACGCATGCTGTTCTTCCTAGAGATGAAAATATTTGACTCGAGATAAATTATGTTCTTATTATGTTACTGACTTTAATATGTTATATGTTTTTATCGAATCCAGGTACGTGGGTTATGCAGGCGCGACTGCAGCCCATAGCAGCGTGATGATCGGTGCCGAGTTCCCCGTCGCGCAGAATCCCGGCCTGCCTCGCAACGACGGCATCTACGCCGGTCGGCGGTACTTCTTATCGCCTTTGCAATACAATGCACTCTTCGTGCCTTTTAGCAAAGTCGTCATGGCCTGGCAATAGATATGAAGCTGAATACTCCGAGGTATGTCAGTTTTTGTTTCACTTGCGAAATGTACGGACAACTTTCAAGGTTATGAGGAAAAAATAAGTAAGAAGAGATAAGCAAGAAAACATAAGTTAGCATTTATTTTTATGCATATTTTATTAAAAATTTTGCCATAATATATTATTATAATAAGACAAGCAGTATGACTCCATACAAAACGCCGTCTCGTAAGGACGCACACATTCGCATAATCTCGTGATGTACTCGCGTTGCATAGCGCGGGTCATCACACGCGCTATTAATTGAGTCGAAACGGCCGCTCAGTATTTAAAAAAGACATCAAGTAGTAGGCGTGTTTATTGTTGTGTCGAACAAGAGTACCTCAAATTCAGAGTTGTTCAGCATTTCATTTCTATTTTATACTCATGCTCCCATAATCGAGATACCAATGTGCGGTAATATCATAAGAATGTCAATATGAGGTTGCTGCATTTGTTATTTCGATATAGCACAACAATAGTGGGATGAATACCTTTTTTTTTTAATTATTTTTACAATAATGTGACAACCGTACGCTCCGAACGACTATACAGGCCGGTGTTGGACTACTTGTTTTATTATACTGTTACCGTGTGGTAAATTACTGGATATTGGCCTAAGTTCTTGATGAAGAAAAAACAACAAGAAAATAATAGAGGTTCGTTTGCGCGGTGGAAATTTATATATAAAATATATTGAAGTTATTTATGTAATAACAAATGTAACTATAACGCCCTTTATAACACTGAAAGACGTAACTAAAATTTTAACACTTTATATTGGAACATAGAATGTAAAATTTGAAATCAGACGGTGCAAACAACTTTTTTCTATCAAAAGTGTAAGTTCCTCTTATAAATGGACTCTACCAGTATTCACTATTGAAACTTTGTAAAAAACAGAATAAAATATAATAAAATATAGTGGCAAATTTAAAATGTTGTTATCCAATGGTACTAATGGTGTAATCGTAGCAGTTACAACCTGCCCACGTCCCTAAACTAAGATTAATGCATAGTGGATCTTAATTACATGTTTATAGACATTATTTAAGCGTCTTACATGATCATAATCTTAAGATTAGAATTATGAAAACAGATTCTGTTTCTTTATAATTGAGATTGTATTTTCTAACACGGGCAATGCAATTTCAAGTGTTATAAATACAATTTTAAATGCATAGAAATAATATCTGTTTTTCTGTTCTCGAGAAGGAATATTGTGATAACAATTTGATGGAATTGACGCATGTTGTGGGATAACAGGAGCATTAAAAAATATGTAATATAACATATAATTTCTATGAATATATATGGTATTGATATGTACGGTGTTTTACTATGGTAATTCTTCAATTACTTTGGCGTTAGTTTTTTGTGAGAATTTAGTGAAATGTTTATGTACTGACTATAAGATTCAGTCGTTATAATGTGGTGAAAATCAATAGTGTTTTTCTAGTAACCAGGATTTCCTAAATATATATTAATTATGTGAATGTGAATGCTTATTTAATTTATTTAATTTCTATGTATAAATACTTGTGAACAGTAGATTATTAAGAACTTAAAAAGTCCGTTAAACACATCGGCCTAGAGCACCGTCATTGTGTAATTTAGACTTAATCGTTAAGAACATAAAACGTAATATGGAATGCGTGTTCACTGTAATACATAGGCTAGTTATATGCATAGTTTGTGTGTATAAACGTCAGCCTAAACGGAGTAGATGTTAGATTTCTCTTTCCTTCATATTAGTTTCTTGATATAAAGGTCATAGGGAAAAGAGAGATGGGTATACATTTCTCATTTGCTACTGTCATTCGGCAAGTTAGTGGAGAATGTAGTATGAAGAATTAAAGACATATTAGTGACGTCCCTCGTAGTTAAAACACACAGACACAAACAGTGTAGTACAATTGTTTATTATTCATATTTTTATCTGATAACTTTATAAGACTAGCCCCACTAATAAGTAACGGTCTATTTTTTCAATTATATTCTCTATAAACTTGTCAGGTATTTTCTTTAGAAAGTCTACATTTGATGTGTAATATCTAGATTTGATGTGAAACTCTAGTGGCGTAAGTACTTAACACGGTATAAAAATTCGTATATAGTGAATAAATTATATAAAAAAATATATGTATCTACGTTGTATGTACAACTATGCTCACAAATTTCTTATGGTGCTCTAAAATTATATTTTTGTTGTTATTTCTTATCATTTTATTTAATTTATTGGCAACGCTTTCTTTACGATGAATTTTGTAATTATTTTTAAGTTTTTTAACTAACACGATTTTGTTATTATTATTGATGCAAAGGCCGAACACAAGAAAAATTTAAACGATCTGATTGGACTCATGGAGTATTTTTACAAAAATTCAATAAATAATTCAAGACAATGGTCGCCACGTTGAGGCAACAGACGTTTAGTTTGTCTTTGTGTTTGTTCGATCTTTCTATCAATAATAATAACAAAATATGATTTTACATGATTTTGTTATAATATTACTCAGAGGTCACAGTTTGAAACAAATATCGTCCCTCTTCTCACAAAACTGTCGTAACTGGCATTTGGCAAATTTTCAGTTTAGCACTACACATTCGGTTGAGCATTTTTTAAATAATATTAAACGTCGGGAAGAAGAACTCGTGCGTCTGATGGTAAGTTACACACCTGTCCATAATAGTTGCAGTACCAGTCCAGAGCCTTAAATCGCAAAGATCTGAGGGGTACCGCCACTGCGCCCTTCATCCGGAGACATAAGTTGACAAGTCCTATGTGTCTGTAGTTGTACCAGCACCCTTACCCTTCAAAAGGGGGAACGCAGTAATGCTAACATTACTGCTTGGCGGCAGAAATAGGTAAGGTGGCAGTACTTACCTGGACGAACTCTTTAACAAGGAGCTCTACTACGAGCATACACATCTTAAACTATAGCTCGCTCGATCTCGTTGTATCAGTGAGTTAATATTTATTTTATTTATTATCATAATAGTTGAGATTTTGTTGGATGAACTTGTCTAGCAATACGCAAACTTAAAGCACATAGATATAAAGTATTGAATATAGCATATAATTTTAATAAGTCATCAATAAAAAAAATACAATATCAGATTAAATTACTATTTAACTGCCTCCGTGGCCGAACGGTTACCATGCCGGACTGCCACGCAGAGGTCCCAGGTTCGATTCCCGGACCGGGAGAAATATTTGTATGGCCTACATTTATTTCTCTCGTGAGTTTGGTTGTAATTTGTGGTTGTCTATGTGTGTGTGTCTATAGCACCCGAGACACAGGATTTCCCTAGTGCTATGTTGAGTGTGTGCGTTATTCATCACACTTATTCCTGAGTATTAACTAGGCGCTATTTTATTTATACGGCCCTTTACCCGTAGTGTTTCTATCTTAATTTCTAAGACAAACATCTGGCTCGATCATAGCTGCCGACTTTTTGATTAATGTTCACTTTTAAAGTTAAGGAAGAACACACGTCTTATTCAACCACAATAAAAATGTCAGTTACGGCAGTTAGTGAAAAGGAAGATGATAAATATAAAAACACATTGTGCATGAGTTTTCTTTATAATAATAATAATAATGATAATAATAATAACGGTTATGTATACTCATGATCTGCGATTAACAGTTTAGTTGTTACCATAATAATATATTTTAATATCTGAGATAGAATTCAAGATCAAAAATGTAAACAAACAACCGTCACTGTCAAAATGACATCTTATAAATAATATTTTTTATATTAAGAGTACACTTAGCAAGTTAAAAACTTTTCGGAACCATTTATGCCCATAATAACTTAATTAATAAAAAGCCGGATTTTTACTTTTTTAAATCTACTGTAATCAACAATATTTAATAATGAGTAAATTTGTCATTTTTATTTATATTTTATTAAGAACACTATAATTATTTTTCGTATCTATTTGTAATAATAAAATGCTCTATTACGTCATCCATAAGGCATTATAATCCATGTAAAGAAAAAAGGTAGTCGATGGTTTAGTAATTTTTCAACATCGCCATTAGGATAAACAATCTTAGCACAACAATACATTTTTAAGAGCTTATGTTAATAAATGGGGTGTTTAAAAAAATATATTTTGGTAACATTTTATTTGTACATGCTCCCAGTTAAAGCACAATATAAAAAAATGCTTTTTTCATATTGTGCTTTTTTGGAGTTTACACAATTGACTCACATTTACACAACTCTTAAAATATATTTTTGTAATGGCATCACTTTGTTTACATTTTTGGTGTCGAATGCCATCGTAGAGTACATAGTGTATTAACGATACTACAAAGATTGTATGTGGAAATCAATTATTATTATTAATATAAAACCGCTTATTAATAAAAAGGGAATGTTACTAGACTCTTGGATCGTACTGCCCTGCAGCATATCATTTAGTTTAGCATGCATAGTTGAATTTGTATTTTTCTTGATGTACTTTAAAATATTACATTTTATCTATGTATATTGTGTATTATAATGTAAGCCTAACGTGGATCTCTATAAAACCAAAGAAAATATTTCTAACGTATACAAGAATAATTATTAATACAAAGGTCGAATGTTTTATCATCATGATATTCAATAAAAAAACAATATATTTAACACAGCGACATCTGGCGTCAGTCTGTGTTAGCTACAAAGGTACCGACTGGTGAGAAACTTCGCAAGTCTCTCATAGATGTCGCTTACGGCTATAAAAGCTGTTAAAACGCTATACAAAGGATCTGTAAACAAATACTTAGAGCGCGTTGCCATTATGTCGTAACGTTTTATTTATCGTAAGACGACTGTCGCGTTTAGCCTGTTCCGATATCACGACAGTCGAGTTTGTGTCGTAGACTTTTTTATCGTTAAACGACAGTCATGCCTAACTGTTCCAACTGGATCGTGACGACAATAATAGCTGCAATTATCTGTCGTCACGTTTCTATCGTGACGTTTTATTTATTGTCCAACGACTGTCGTTCTAGGTCATCCCATTGTCGTGATAGTCTGTCGTCGTAATGTCAAAAAAGTCGTGAACGATAGTTAACGTGTTGTACTATATATGAACAACAACTTCTTGCACGACTATCTGTCGTCACGACATAAAGGGAACACGCCCTTAGATAAATTCGTTGGATTTGCTGATCTGTAGTTCAATTGGTATTACAGTGGCTCTAGTTTGGCATACAGACGTAGGGTTCGAGTCCCCTCAGACCGAAGACATTTTTCCTTGTGTTCGATAATTGTATTAATAATTGTAACAACCTAGTGGAGTAATTTAATATCATGATAATACAACATCATGATATTCAATAAAAATCAATACACAAGAATTGCAATATTTAAAAAAGCTCAATAGAGTATTATAGATTCTGTAGCGACGTATTATTGTTGGACCTTGACTGTGGCAAAAGCAATGAAGACCGTGACAATGAGACACATGATAGGAGTGCTA